GGGCTTGGGCTGCTAATAATAGGTTTTTTTCTCCTTCTTTCTTTTTTTGCTTGGTTAACCAAGCCAGATTTTTTTCAAGGGTGCATTTTCCGCATTTGTATTCATATAAATAGTCAGCGGAGCAGGATAATGAGGAGGGCGGCTGCCACAATTATCCATCAATTTTCACTAAATCACTCTTTTACTTTGGCTCATTGGAACATGGCTTTATCTTCATTAAAAATAAGAAAAGATTTTCAAAAAGACTTGCCTTTTACTCCTTCCTGAACAGATTGACCTTTTTGAAAATTCGCCTCTCCGTAGCTAGTCTTTATAGCAGTAAAACTATTTCAACTAGTGTTTCCTTTCATTAAAATAAAAGTATAAATTCAGGAAATAAGAGAGGATAAATAAATTAGGGGCATGAAACTAAAACTTAGTCGAAAACCTAATTTAGACTTGTCTTTTTTTAATATTTTACTATCTTGGCTATAAAGAGTATTAGTTTCTACTGGCGCTTCCCATTTCAAATTAATTATTCAGACAAAAATAACAGTAAAGAGGAATAATCAGAATAACCAAATAGCCTTCCCATGGTCTTTAATTCAAGCAAAAGGCACAAACTCGGTAAAAAGTATAAGGTTAAAGGCATTACATATCCCATATTGGTTCATTAATTGTAGAAGTAATTCAATTAAACAACAGTTAATTATAGTAATAATCAAACATAAAAGCAAAATATTACCCCACTTACCTCGGAGACCATTTCCTCAATAATGAAATAGTCCATAAATCAAAGAAATAAGAAAAACCAGGGTTCTGTTTATTCAGTATCTCCATTTTTGGATTTTGACCGGGTCCATTTTTTCGGGATTAAGGAGCATGAAAAAAAGCCCTAAAAAAAAACTAACTTGCAAGTGGACACTAATCCCCATAAAAAATAAATTAGTTTTGTCCTGGGAAACATTGTCAGTAGGAACAAAAAATCACTTACTAGGAAAAGGGATTTTATGCTTGGCTAAAAGATAAAAAATTAACCCAGCTAAACTGGCTAAGCAAGCCAGGACAAAAGCATAACGCCGTTGCCTAATTCTTTGTTTTTGGTTGGAAATTGCCATATTTTTTTTAAGCGGTGCGTTTTATTATGGTGAACTCGCCGCCTCTTTGGCTAATTTTGTCTTGGGCGGCTTGGGAAAAAGCGGCAGCTTTAATAACTAATTTTTTAGTAAACTCTCCTTCTCCCAAAACTTTAACGGGCAATTTTTTCTGGGAAAAATCGATTACTTGTCCGTCAGTTATCTGGGGGTTTTGTTCTAATTTTCCTAAATTAATTATCTGATAAAAGGTTTTTTTGTTTTTAAAGCCTCCGCCCCGCTTGGGAAAACGCCGAAAAACGGGGGTCTGTCCTCCTTCAAAACCGGGGTGGATATTACCACTTTTGCGGGCTCCTTGTCCTTTGGTCCCTCGTCCTGCTGTTTTGCCACGACCCGAACCAATGCCCCGCCCTACTCGTTTAGTTTTTTTTCCTGTTTTGATTAAATAATTATTAGTAGTCATATTTTTTACCAGTTAATTTATCCAACGCCAAAAAAGCGGCTCGAATAACATTTAGTTTATTGCTCCGGGAACCAATTATTTTGGCACTGACGTCTTTAATTTCTAAGTATTTAAATAATTTATTCAGCACTCCGCCGGCTTTAATGCCACTGCCTGGTGCCGCCGGTTTTAAAAAGATTTTAGTGGCTTTATAGTTAACCATTATATCTCGGGAAATAGTGCGCGGCGGAACAGAAAAATAAGTTATTAATTTTTTTTGAGCCTGGCGGGAAGATTTACGCAGAGCAATAATCATTTCTTTACCGCCCGTGTGGGCAAAAGCCACGGCTTTTTTGTTTTCGTCTTTTACTAAAGTTAAAACAGTAAAACTGAATCGACGACCACCTTTGGTTACTTTTACTACTCTTTTGGTTTCTAAGGTTTCGCTTTGTAAAGAGGAACGAGGAGGTCTTTTTTCTGTTCACTTTCTTTCCTTATCTGGTCAGCGAGAAACGAAGTTTTTCTCAGTGCTTGCTTGCTCGGTCAGCGGCTTATTTTCTCCTTTTTCTGGTATGGGAACTTCGTCATAAACCATTTTTTGCTTTTCCGGAGAGATATTTTGGTCGGGCACCAAGATTTTATGATTTAATTTTTCTTTTTCCATCTAAAAGTTAATTCCTGCTTGGCGCATGGTCTCACAAAATATCTTTATTTTACCATGATAAGGACGAGCATTGCGGTCAAAGACAATATTTTCTTTACCCGATTTTTTTAGTTGCTCGGCAAAAGTTTTTCCTAGTTGCTGAGCATAATTTTTATTTTTGCGTGAATAATTAGTAATTTCTTCGCCCAAATCGGCTGTGGAAGAAGAGCAAAGAGTATTGCCAATTGTGTCGTCTATGGCCTGAACTCGTAAATAACGATTAGACTCACTTAAAACTACACGGGGTCTAACTGCGGTGCCTTTAATTATGCTGCTTCTTCTTTTTCTGGTGGAGCGACGGGCTTTTTTATTAATAACTTTCGTCATATATTACTTATTTTATTATTATTTTTAAATTAGCAATTAGATTATTATTTAATTTTACTTTTACTATATTTTCTCCTAATTTATTTAAGGGGCGAAAATCTAATAACTGACTTTTCTCACAAGGAAATCCAATTTTTTCTAACTCCGTTAAAATCTCTTTAAAGCCTACAGAACCGAACGGCTTATTATTTTCGTCTTTTTTCAGCGTAAAAGCCAAGGTGAAATTATTAATTTTTTGATATATTGTTTGGGCTTGGGCTGCTAATAATAGGTTTTTTTCTCCTTCTTTCTTTTTTTGCTTGGTTAACCAAGCCAGATTTTTTTCATTAGCCAACAACACTGCTTCCTGTAGCAGCAAATAGTTAACTATAAAGCCTCTTTTTAATTCTTTTATTTCGTGTTTTCTCCCTAACTCGTTATCGCGGAGGAAAATAACTTTTTCTTTCTTACTAACCATTATAATATTATCGTTAATATTCGTTTTGTTCCACTATCATATAAGGCAAAAGGGCCATTTGGCGGGCTCTTTTAATGGCTTGGGCTACTCGTCGCTGGTTTTTAGCAGTTAATTGCGTATAAGTGCGTTGGGTAATTCGTCCTTGGCGATTAATAAACTTGCGTAAAGTAGCAGTATCTTTATAATCAATATACTCAATACCCGCCTTGAGAAAATAATCAGTTTGCGGACCAATTTTTCTTTTTTTAACTTTAAGTTTACTGTCAGGAGCACTTTTTATCATTAGGTTTTATTTTTTCTCTTTGGGCTTGCTAAAATCTATTTTTTCTACTTCTTTGGCTACGCGGTTTAATTTATCCAAGGGATTAAAAATATTTACGGAGTCACTATCCAACAAAGTAAAGGCTTGACAAATAATCGAAGAAATACGGGAAATATTTTCTCCTTCCACTAACTTTTTGGTTTGCAAAAATCCTTCGAGCAAAATAATGTCACCTTTTTGCAACTTACTACTGACTTCGGAAGCCAATTCCCCTTGGGTGCGACAAAAGAAAGCATTACCTTCTCGGGAATCAGCAATTTTAAAAGTCAATAATTCGGGGTTGTCACTGTCTTCTCCCGTTTTAAAATCAGTAAATATTCTTCCTAATAATCGCGCTTGGTTAGCAGTTTCCTTATCAATATCAGCAAAACTTATATCTAATTTGGTAAGTTCTAGGGCTTTTATTAATACTTGCCGACCGGATTTTTCATTACGCAAATAACCTCTAATTTCTCATACTTCTCCCTCTTTAATTTCTCGTTCGGCTTTGTCGGCTACTTTACCTCAGGTCACACACCGCAAAATGGTTAGCGAACCACTCGGATTGGGAACCAGTAAACTAAAATAAAACGCTTTTTCTGATGGACATGATTGAGGACTCGCCGCTCCTTCCTTATTTTCAGCAGACAGAGGAGTTTCCTTTTCGTCAGATTTTTTTACTTCGAGAGATAAAACTTTACCAATTACTT